GGCCCTTGGGTGGCCTCTGACCTTTTAGGAGGCCGAAACGAAATGATGGCCACCAATGAGATTTATCAATGGCAGCCGTCGTCGGGGGCGGCCTCCAAACTCTTTGGGAACAGCCCGTTTCCCTAATTTCCCAACACTGGCGGAGGCGCTAGTGCTTTAAGAGAGAAGTAAACGCTCACTCAGGTTTGAGAAGTAAAAGGGCTAACTGGGTCAAACACCTGTGGATGGTGCAGATCCGCAAGTGCATGATCTGCATCTGGCTTCAGACATAGCCATGTGCAGCCTCACTGGGGTCAGTGGGATAGCTTTAATCTTCCTTCAAATATAAGAAGGGCTATTTCTGACCTTCACCCCTTTTCTTCGTTGGTGGTCCCTTTTTTGAAGTTTTTTCCTCGAGCTGCCCTGGGAATATGACTGTTTGAATTTTGCTTTTCCATCATATTTTAGAATTCATGAGGCAGGAAAATTCTAGAAATACACACTGATTTCAGAAATACAGTGAACTCTGTGGACAGCAGAATTGTAGAAATACATTTAATTTTACGGACAACAAAATTCTGGAAATGCTTCAAATGCACCAAAATTTGTGGACAACGAGATTCTAGAAATGCACATGCGTTCTAGAAATAAACCAAATTTTATGGTGAGCAAAATTTGTAGAAATTCACACTCATTCTAAAAATACACTTGCCACTTGGTTGCCAGGCACGTGCTCTTCGAGCTCAAAATTTACGAACGGCAAAATTCTACAGATACACATTCATTCTTGAAATACACAGAAATTTACGAACAGTCTTCACCCCTTCTTTTCTAGAATCTTATGGACAACAAAATAGATTAAAAAAAAATTATGATTGTATTTTTATGCATACACCCTATGAGGGAAGCCTTCGCAATATACTGAGCATATTACAATGCTCAAAAGGCATCACCATGAACTCTTAACAGGCCATAGCATTCTCAGATGCAGTTTGGTGTTGATCCTCGGGTCTTACCTGACTCTCGTGGTACCTAGACCTTGGGTGTATTTCGTGGTACCTAGACCTTGGGTGTATTTTGCTCAAGTACTTGCATACCTGCAGTCCATCTAAGACGCCATCGTTACGGGAAGGGGGCTCAGCATTCCGCACATTGATGGCATTGAGGCCTCTATAGTCAATGCTCATCCTTAGAGAATTAGAGTACCTCCCTTCTTGGGTGGTACAAACATTACAGGCAATCCGTAAGGCAAGGAACTCGAGCTAATTACAGATCCGCAGCCTATCCAAGACGCCATCGTTCCAGGGAAGGGGCTCAGCAGTACGCACAGTGATCACATTGAGGCCCTTATAGTCAATGCACGTCCTTTGCATAATTAGTGTACCTTCCTTTTTGGTACAAACCATACTGGCAATCCATAAGGCGAGGAACTTGAGCTAATTACATCCGTGCAGCCTATCCAAGACGCCATGGCGACAGGGAAGGGGCTCAACATTACACACAGTGATGACATTGAGGCCCCTATAGTCAATGCACATCCTTAGCGAATTGGAGTACCTCCCTTCTTGGGTAGAAAGTACTAGAAACAGTAGTGGCAACCCATAAGGCGAGGAACTGAGCTAATTACATCCCTGCAGAGTGTCAGCATTATGCACAATGATGGCATTGAGGCCCCTATAGTTAATGCACATCCTTTGAGTAACTCCCTTCTTGGATACAAACAATACAGGACCTGATCTAGCTAGCCCTTGTCAGTCAGTTCCTTAAGCTGCCAATGAAGTTTATCCAACTCCATAGGGGATATCCCATAAATCTTGCCGTTTGGACATCCTTACTTCCATAGGGGCTCAACATTACGCAAAGTGATGTGATTGAGGCCCCTATTGTCAATGCACATCCTTAGATAGCTTCCCTTCTTGGGGAGGACATCCCATAAATCTTGCTCTTTGGAATCTTACTTCCATAGGGGCTCAACATTATGCACAGTGATGGCATTGAGGCCCCTATTGTCAATTCACATCCTTAGGTACCTCCCTTCTTGGGAGCAAACAGTACCGACGACCCGTAAGGCGAGGAACTTGACCTAATCTAGCCCTTGTCAGTCGGTTCCTTGAGCTGCCTGTGAAGTTCATCCAACTCCGTAGGGGATATCCTATACATCCTGCCCTTTGGAATCTATCTAACTTCCTGGGACAATCTCTATGGCATGGACAATCTCCCTATCTATACGACTCCTGTGGGGTCTTCTTGGAGATCTGGATATTTAGCAGCAATGGCTTCTGTCATCTCCCTCGGAGCCCCTCAGGCGTTCCCCTTTGGAGAAATGAATACCAGCTACATACCTTCCTCTTGGTTCTGCGTCTAGTAACTATAGAATGAGCTTGGAGACAACCATCCATAGGATTCGTTCAAGGCAAAACGAGGCCGATGCCTCGCTGCCAAGAACTTCTTTCCTTCTAGAGTCTTCGATACACTAGCGAAGATTCCTCATCCCACTCAATTTCTGGTTTAGCTACTTTTAGGTATTACATCCCAAGTATCATATTGAATGTCAAGTCATTGCTGACAAGAAAAGACAAGTTGTGCCTCAACGCTGACCACGAAAAACAAGTTTGTACCTTATCTTGGCCCTATGATAGGAGAAGCAACATGTTACGTACTTGATGTAGATGTCGATGACAATCGACAAGTTGGTAGCTAACGTAGATACTACAAGTCTACTTAGCTTCTGGCCCTCTATCGACTAGGGCCCCTGCTTTATGGCCATTCACTTCTGCCTCTACTAGGATCAGCTGTCCCGTGACTCCCGTCATACCCTTTGCTATTGTTACTTACCCCTTTGCTATTGTTACCCACGAGCGCATCAGCTTTGGAAGTTCGTCCTCTAGGGCTTCAAGGGGCTCAGTCACGTCTCGAGAACGAAGCACCAACTCCTTTTAGACTGTGACGAATTGGTACACCCATGGTCAGTAGCCATTGCCACTGCCGTGTGTGAGGTCGAGGAAGAACCATCTGCATCGGATGGGACTATTTCTCCTTCCTCACTGGACAATCTAGAAAGCGATACACCTCCTACTGGTTCGATTGGTTTCCCTCCGAACGGTTTCTGGTAATATGGCCCAATTCGCCACATGTCCTATACCCCCCTCTTGTGTCTGTCCTCCCGAACCTTCTTTTGTTGTACTTCCTTGTCCCATGAACACTTCACTGTATCAGATGGAGGTGGTTGGTTGGACTCTTTGCCTGACTACTCCCACCTCATGTGCTGCATGTCATCCCTGGGGCATCCCATACATCGCCCTACTCCCACCAGATGCACCCGAAGGGGAATCACTCTCAAGGTTTGTGCGCACTTGCACGTCACCAATGGGAGAACACTAAGTAAAACCCTCTTCCTCACGATATGAAGATTAAAGAGGAGTACCAACGGGCCTAGCTCAGTTGGTACACCCTTGAACTGTTGAAATACAGACTCAAGTTCAAATCCAGATACCTTCAGATTAAGAGAGTAAAATCATTCTGAATTGCCTGAGGCCGATCAGTTCAACGATGATATCTAAAGGCCGTCACCCTTTTTAAAAAAGAAGAGCAGAAAGGAAAAGAAAAAAAAACAAGATTAGAGAGGAAGGGTAGGTAAGTTTAGGGGTAGTTACTTGATGCCGTCCTGACCACAGATTATCTCACCAGCTGTTTATGCCGTTACCGTTTGATGACCGGTCAGGGCAGAGTAATGGCCGACAATACAATGCCAGTACCGCCGACAATACAATGCCAGTACCGCCGACAATACAATGCCGGTACTGCCAACAATACAATGCCAGCAACGGCAAAACTTGGGCCCACTCGATCCTCTACCCAGAGGTTGGGTTGACCAGCGGGCAAAGGATTGAACGCACTGCCGGAAGACGAATGCCGGCACCGCACTATCTCAGTTGCCAACTGGGATCTCGCGTATCGGAGGAAAAATTTTCTGGTACCAAAATGCAAGGAACCAGCATGCGAGAACACAAGGATATCGAGCAGCAGAACTCGTCGAAGACCATGCGCGAGTAGACCCAACCAGAAAAGCAGCGTGGATAAGGACGGTAGCACAAGGATGCAGTAACACACCGAACACTGAAGTCTCTTGATGATGAAAGCCCTCTTCTCACCTCCATCAATTAATACAACAGCAGCATAGCAGCCCTAAGCTATGACATGGCCGCCTGCAGTAGCTCTCTGGAGTTGGCATGGCCACCTGCTCACTGGGCAGTTGGCAGTCTCTATATTATACGTACGTGCATGTATGCATGTATGCATAATATGGTAATTGCCACTGCCTGGTGAACCGTAGGCTGAAAGGGAGGAAAGGACGAGAGACAGAAGGCAGTGAGAGGCCGTTTCGTCGGCGTTTCGCCACCCTCACCAGGAAGGAGGCTGAACCCTCTTACAGTCTGCGGGCCTCCCGGACTTGGCGGAAAAAAGGAAAAACAAGGCATAAAAAAAACACCCTCCCTCCCTGGTTATGGAAGCCTCCACTTTACGATCGTAGCAGGAGCTATGGCGGGCCGCCTTCTTCAATCTCCCGGCCTATCTCTGGTCTAGATAAATATGGTGGTAAAGTTACCTCTCTGTGTCACAATAAAGTTACCTCTCTGTTGCGATTAATTTTCACTTAGGGTGGGCACATGCGTGCTGCAGGGGCCTTATGCAGGTATGCTGAGGGGTAAAATCCTCGCAAATTTACCTGTCTCCGTTAAAATTGGAACGACACAGCGAAGATTAGCATGGCCTCTGTGATTAAGTTACCTCTCTCCATTAAAGTTAGGATGACACACATATATAAAAAAAAAGAAAAAAAAAAAGGTTACCTTTCTCTGTCACGATTAAGTTACTTCTCTGTGCTGATGCAGTATTAACGACTATTAAGTAATAGTATGACCTCCTGAGGCTCCCTCTCACACTGTTCGCTGTGTTTGGTTTGGTGTGTGCTTTTTTTTTTTTTTGCGTATGTGACATTGTGTGATATTTATTTACTCCAGAGAGCCGTCGATTGAAGAGAAGTTCCTTCTTGCATTAGGGCGAATTGATTTCCACCATGCTATCCCTGTGCATACTGTAGCGAAGGGAGGGGAAGAAGACGAGAAAGAGAGGGAGAAGAAGAAAAAAGAAGCAGCAGCCAAGGCTTCATCTCAGTCAACATGGCAGTGGCAGAGTGTGGTCGAGCATTTTCAGATGGTGCAAATCGAGCTAGGGGTCATACAGGACGTAATCAAAGAGGTGGGTTCATTGGGATGCATATGTATATATACATACAGGTTTCTTACATAATGATGCTCTTTTCTTGCCACACCATATAGTCCGTTCTCTCTCTTCTCATGTCGAAGGTCATTCCTCTGGCCCCAAGCTGCAGCAGGATATGTTTATATACACACGACAGCAAACCGTCCGCGATGTCGTTTATGTTGAAGATCGTTCCTCTGGCCCTGTGCTGCAGCAGGACAGTGTACCAACACTCTGCGACCTTCTCCTTTGTACAACTACAAACACTGTTACACTCGGCTGTAGCCGCCATGGTCTCTGTCATGATCACTACAATGACATGGTTTCTGCATCCATGTGTGTGGACTGTCCCTCCATTCCTGACTGCAGGCACCCTCCACATCCGGACACTATATGTCCGTTTTGCACAAGTCCATCTTGCGGCAACGGGCGGTTTTTTGAATGCGTGGTCTTCTGCGGTGCCTGTTCCTCCTTCATGTTGGCCTGCAATCGACATGCCATTTGCCGGGAGTGTGTGGTGGGCATGCTCAATGCCAGCAGTCGTGCCAATTGTCATACGGAGAATCCTCAGCTAGGTCTTCCATGTGTTCATCCAGCTCATCCTTACAATGAATGTCCTCTCTGTCATCAAGGGCAGACTGATTTTTTAGCCTCTTCTTATCCTTTCCTATGCACACATCTTTCCAAACTCCTCACTTTCCCTTACTTTCTTTCTATTTGTCGTTCTTTGTTGTTTGTCTCCATGATCTCTCTTCTCTGTGTGTATCCCCTCCCCCTTTGCTCTGTGTCGTTCTCACAGGGTACAAGTGGGCCGTTATGGCACACGGGGATGCGGGCAGCTCGCACTCAACTTCATCAACTTGACAAACCTTGTACGCAAGAGGCACAGTAAAAGGGTAGTTAAAAGAATGATAAAAATGAATGGTTTCAGTGTGCTCTTCATGTTTGCCTTGTGTAATTTTATCCTTTGTTTCACAAAGTGCGCTCTTTTAGTTCATAGATATGTGACAACATCTCTGTTTGACGATATATATCTATATCTATCTATCTATCTATATCATACTTGCGGCGCATCGAGGTGCGCGGCATCCCGCATGTGCGCCGCACCGCGCACGACGCGCGCGCACGGGGTGCGGCGCACCCCGAAAATAAGGGGTCGGCCAAAAAAAAAAAAGTTGGGGAGGGGTGTTGTAGGCTCAAGTGGGATGTCGCGTCAAGAAACACAAAAAACAACAACAACAATTTGAGGCTGTGAGGGGCCCCGGACAAAAAAAAAGGGGGGGGGAGCTGAATTTTTTTTCTTCAGGAAGAACATCAGAATTTCTTTGCATGAGTGAAGCCCGGCGCGTCCAACCTGTCAGAACCTCAACGGTAATGTTCACCAACGGGCTCGCTGCACAACTCTCGACATGCACAACAAGACATAGGGCCTGGCTGCACTACTCTCAACATGCACAAAAGACAAAAATATTGGCAGTGTATCTTTCCATATTCTAACGCAAGATTCACTCTCGTTTTGCAGATTTCCAGAGTAGTGCAGCGAGGCCCGTATATGGGAATGTATCTTTCCATGTTCAAGTGGAGGATTCAGTCTCATTTGTTCAGAGATTCTCCCCAAAAAAAAAAAAAAGTTTCCAGAGATACGTTACGTGCTTACCGTATTCATCGGCCCTTCGTTCTCCACCACCC